GTCTGTGGATGAGTCCCCCGCCCCCCCCCCCCGCCCGGTCTGGTTATCTGTGGGGTTGGCATGCCTGCTGCACATGGGGTCCCTTCAGCATTCTGCGCGCCAGTGCAGGGCCCAAGGAAAACAGTCTTTTATTGAAGGCATCAAGCAAGAAATTAGATAGGCATTCTTTTCAGGCCTTAGAAATCGGCTCCATGGGGACAGGGGTTCTGCCCTTTATTCTTTGACAGCTGCTAGCTCAGAGAGCATGCCCAGTAAGTGTAGGCTTAGTGTAAGGGAGACTGTTTCTGTCAATAGCTCCCATTCATGGCTGTAGTCGTTCACCTAAAAATAGCTTCCAGACGGTTGGGAACTTGCAGGACAGTGGTGGACACAAAAGCATACTTGTGGTGAGGTTTTAAGGATATAGCAGAATTGATTACACTCCGCTGTTCCACGGGGGCCACAGGTCCCCTCCTACCTAGGCCAGGACCTCAGGCAGTTGACTCTGCAGTAAACTGTCAGTGCATTAGAATTCCCCCATGGCTGTCATTGTGGTGAAGAGAGAAAACAGATCCTGTATCCATGAAGCTGGCATGATGCTCCTGTGACAGACATTTGTCACCACATGGAGAGAGCCAAGCCAGTGAGACAAGGAGGGGCAGTGACTTGTGCAGGCTGTGGGCTGGCCTCTCACAAGCACCCTCCGTGAGCCTTGTGGATTCCTCTACCTTCCTATACAGAACTCACTGTGACTTCCCATCTGAGGATGGAGGGACAAACCACAGCAGATACAGGAGAAACAGATGCTGCCCTGGAGGCCTGTCTACTGAAGTGGCACCTGTCAGGGGCACTGGTGAGGACAGCAGTTGCCAGCCGTGAGGAAGAACACTTCAGTGAGCTTTGCTTCAGAGAGCAACAGAAGTCAAGTAGTAAAAAGGGAGAGTGGGCAAGGGAGGCACTTGGTAAGACTCAGCTTGTGTGGTGCAGGCAGGGAGGGACTAAATGCTGGGACCACAGTCACTATCTAGAGTAGGACATAGCTTACAGGCTGAAGATTCCCAGAGCCTGCCAGGCCTTGAGGGAAAAGTGGAGTGTTTGTTTCCGAGAGATGGGGAGAACAAGTTCAGTTGGTTAGATGGTAGGGGTTGGGGTGAGGTGAGGGATTCAGGAGGAACAGGAGAAACCTGGGTGAGCATCTAGGAAAGTGGTGGGTAGATTTCTAACCTGAAGTGCAAGAAGCTCAGGGTTGCAGGGGTGCTGGTGCAGAAGGGACCCAGGCACAAGGAGCCAGGGTCAGGATGATGCTGTCTCCATGACCCTAACTGGAAAAATAGATGAAGTTAAGCTTCCTCTCAGGAAAGATGGGAGAAACTTGGGAAATTGGGTTTTAAAAAAATGTTTCCAGTAGTTAGCAATGCTGGGACCTGCCATGGAGGTCTGCCCATGGGGGTGAGAGGTCGCTGGATGAGCTGCTGGAGTGGGGGAGGGAGCGGGGAAGCAGCTGGCAGAGCCCTGAGGACACGAGGGAATGAGGGCTGCTGAGACATCAGGAAGGAAAGAGCCTGGCATGGGGAGGAGTGGGACCAGACTTCACTGGGCAGGTAGAGTGACATACAAGAAGACTGAGGGGCTGATGTGGAAATGGAGAATTCCTGACCCAGGATCTGTAGAGTTACCATGTAGCTGCATAGCTTCCAAGGGCGAGAAGGGTGGGGGCCAGAACTCCGTGTCATGGCAGGCGTGTCTCCAGGGTAGAACACAGAGTGGAATGTGCCTTCCAAGCAGACAGTGCCTGTAAGTCCAGATGTCCAAGGGAGGAGGGACAGCACTGATAGTCCCATGAATTAGGGCTTTCCTAGGCTTATCTCTGGCTGTTGGATTCCTGTAACACCACCACCCTATTGCTGTGGTTTTCACATGTGTCTCAGAGCATCGCCATGTGGGCCTGGAACATGCTTCTAATTGAGAACAAGGAACCAGATAGACCAGCAGAGACTCTGGGGACAGAACTGAAGCACCATGCTGAAGGATGCCTCAGGGACAAAGCCAAAGTTCAGGCCATATCAGTGCCCTGGCCTGCTGGACTCTCAGAGGAAGCTGAGTGGCATTTCTTGTCAGTACTGTCATCATCTCAAGTGCCACTTGTCACTTCTCCATGAAAGTCAAGAGTTAGTGCCACAGTAATGACAGTCCATAGATACCGAGACGCCGGGAGATGCGATGGTGCTTTCCCTCCTGTTATATTAGAAAGGGCTCTCTGTGGTAGGAGGGGAAGGAGTTGCCTGGAAACAGGCACATTTGATTTTCATCCCAAGAGAGGTGAATCTGTTCTGTGTGCCAGTGAGTGATTCCAAAGCCTGCCCAAGTAGAATGGGAAGTAGATTGTTGAAAGAGCATCTTCATTCACAGAAAACAATGACTTATTTGAATAGGGACATTTCACTAAAAAGAGAAACTATGATTTGTGTCCCTTTAGTCTTTCTGGATTATCAAAACCGTGTAAGTTGGCTTTCAGGGTGGTATTTGGAAACCTAGCTTATTGGCTTTGTTTTCGTTTCTTTTTGTTTTGTTTTGTGTTGGAGGCAGTGAATTGTGAGGTAGGCTTCAGTGGCCTGGTAACAGCTGTATGGCCTAGGCTGACCTCGGACTCATGGTGTTTCTCCTGCCTCAGCCTCCTGGGTTCTGGGATTATAGGTATGTGTCACCTTGCTCCAGTTGTTCCTTGACAAGTTCAAAGCCATGTTGTTGCAGGAGAATTATTGGTGCAACTATTCCACTATTCATTACAGCATGTGGCTTGGCTACAGAGACAAATGCCTTGTCTGAGCCCGGTGTTGCTGCTTAGAGGCCTCCAAGTGTGCTGGTGCTACTGACGTGTGAACCTCTGTCCCAGCCCCGCCCTGCTCTGGACTGTTTTCATCAACTCAGCTGTGGGCATAGAGGTTTATGTTTCAAACAGCCAAGACCTGCTAAGGAAGTTGTGAAAACCAAGGGGAAGCTTCCAGAGCCTCAACACTCCAGATGGTCTCTGTGCTGATAGTGCACAGACAAGTGAGAGCTACGCAGTCTGTGCACATGTGTGGAAGTCCGTCCTGTTCGCTGTGTAGTTCATGCATGTGCTCTCCGCATCTAGGAGAGATGTTGGTGTCGGGTTGGGAAGTAGACGGTAGCTTACCTGTGTTGAGCATTACAGGACACTGGGGAAGAGAAACAACCACTTCCCTGAAGAAGCTGTAGTTAGCTTTAGGCCACTAACAGCCAAGTGCAGAGTGTCCACAGTCAGACCCCTGGAGTAGAGATCTAACTTGTAGCTTAGGAGAAAGAATTACTGACAGTCACAGAGGTCGCAGGATTGAAGCAGCAGGACAGTGGGACACTCGGGCTTATTACACAGAAATGTGTTTGGGTAAGAACAGTGAGTAGCTTTGCTTTCCTGCCTGATGAGTAAGCCCTCTGGTGGGGGACCAGACGGGCATGAACCACTGTCAGTGGCCTTGGCACATGACAAGTAGTGGCATCTTTTGAAATCTGTGCATGAAATACTTAAGAAGAACAAAGGCCTCACCATCAAGCACTGGATAGCATACAGAAGGGAAACTCCAAAATTGCTGGCCGTCTTGGAGTCTGGTATCTGTCCTAGGGACTAGATGTTCAGAAAGTTGTCTTGCTCTGTTCTGTTTGTTTCTTGGTTTTGGTGGTGGTTTCTGGGTTGATCGGTTGGTGGGTAGGTTGGGTTTTGTTGTTTTGGCAGGCCTAGGTCTCACTATGTAGACCTTTCTGTTCCAGAACTCTCAGATCCTCCTGCCTCTGCCTCCTACGTGATAGGTTAAAGGTGTATGTGACCATGCTCAGCTGGGGGCCAGTATTTTCACTTAAACCCTTATACTCACCACCACCACTGCAGCCAGCCTGCCGAACTACAGGATGAAGTGAGGGTCAGGTCAGAACTGCTGGCTGTCCCTAGGACACAGTTCACCTTGGAAAAGGAACCAGTCCTGGAGCCTGGTGGAAGTGGAAGGGTGGCAGCATCAGGGGATGGAACAGAAGGTGACGGTTGGTACCCATTCAGAGCTGAGGTACCCGTCAGCGGGCATCTGGGAACAGCTTTTTGCCGTGGGTCCCCAGCTTGTAGGGATTGGCAATATTCCGAGATTAGGCACCAGGCAGATGGGAGTCAGTTCAAGCCCTTCTCTCCTTGTAATTACAAGACTCCTGACTCACGACAAACGACTCTAAAACGTGGGGTGTGGGGAGGTGCACCACCCGTGCTCCTCTGTCCCCTGCTCGGTGTACTGTCCTGCCCGTGTGGTCTGGCACTTCCCAGTCTTTAGCACTACTTGGGCCTTCTTTTTGGTAAAGAGAGAGTAAAAAATAAATTGAGTTTCATTTAAAGTGAGTCCCTGTGTTTGCACAGTGGCCTTAAAGCCTCTCTGCAGAGCTGGAGGGACTCTTCGGTCTTCAGCTCTATGGTATTGACTTGGAGACATTCCTGCGGGCTGTTAGTGAGCTGTGGCATGTTCTATCTCCTCTCACTGATTACAAAGTGAAGTCACAGCCTGTACGTGTAGTACTACAGGGAGAAGAAGATCAGGAATTGTTCCCCTTTTGTATGCAATGTCACACCCACCCAGGACAGTTTGTGCATGTTAGTATCTCATTCCTGGTAAATGAGGGTCAGTAAGGGAAGGAGAGGGAACACTGAGAATCCAAGGTCCGCTGTCCTGCTGCCCCTGATGTCATGGGTGTGGGTCTGAGGTTTCAGGAGTCCAGTGGCTGGAAGCAGAGGATTTCCAGTGCCTGCTTTGGGCTGGGAGGTGCACATGGCAAAAGTGCTTAGATCTGTTCACTGCTGGAGCCCTGGCCGCCCACCCAGCCACGTTGTGCACAGGTGTCTTTGGAAGGATGGAAAGATCTCACATGTTAATGCTGGAGGATGTTGCTTGAGTGGGTTTTGCTTCCTTTTCTTTGCTGTGCTCCAAGCTCACTTTTGCATTCTTTTGCCTTTTCTGGTTTGGTTGCAGACACGGGGCTGGGTGACTCGGTGTGTTCCAGCCCAAGTATCTCCAGCAGCACCAGCCCCAAGCTTGATCCGCCCCCTTCCCCCCACGCCAACAGAAAGAAGCACCGGAGGAAGAAAAGTACCAGCAACTTCAAGGCTGACGGGCTCTCGGGCACCGCTGAAGGTAAGGGTCTCCAGGCTGCCAGGGTGAGCATCTGCACTGTGGAAAATGGCCTTGCTCGTGAAGTCCTCTATTTACCTGATGCCAGATGTGGATTTTCTGAAGTGGCTCCCGCAAGTGAATTTTTTTTATTCCATACATGCATGTTGAGATAAATAAATACACACACACACACACACACAAAATGAAAGGCATGAATGTAACTAAGCTTCAGAAATACTCAAAAGAAAAACAACAGTTCCAAACATTGTTGCATTAGCATCAAGGTTTGTTACTGAGATGGACAATAGCAGAGTTTATCTTGAGCAAAGGTTCCCACTCTCAGAGACTGCCCTGTCCTTCAGAGCCTTTCTCTTTCCTTGTCTGCCAAACTTTTTCTCAGCGTTCTCCTGGTTTGTCCAGAACTGTGGATTGCAAGATGCTACTCCCAATAGGGAAGGGCAGCTTTGTAAGCACATGGCAATCAACAAGGACCCTTGGGGCTCAGCAGGGTGCCCCATCATTTGTAAGGTGGGCCGTGTTGTTTTGGGTGTCATGTGGAGGCTCCTTGCAGCTTGGGGTTTCTTTCAGGGCCTGAAGGTCTTTTCCTTCACCAAGGTTCACTTGGTTCTGTCCCCAGCAGCTTCCTGCTGACAAAGTTAGGCAACGAAGACCAGTTTTCTTATTTTGGGTATAAATAAGGATGATTTTTCCATGTCAGCAGTCATAGAAACTGACACTGAAGGGTGCAACTCAGAGCTAGATGTCACTGCTCGTCCCACCATAAAAGGTTCTGCTCAGATACTGAGAGCTACTGAGACCTCATCAAGAGCCACCAGCCAATGTCAGCACCAACCTGCCCCAAGGAGAGGTTGGGACAAGATGGTAGCCTTGCCACCCATCTAACCTCCAGCCTATAGATCCAAGCAAGATTTCCCCCAACGAGTGTTTTAAAGTGCATGTCATGTAACGGATAAGCATCTTAGAACATGTCACTGTCACATGTTTCCAAATGGTGTTTGTTCTTAATGTCGTAGCACAACGGATGGCCAGTTCTCTCCACACACAGCTGCTTATATGCATTTCAGTTACTCACACGTGATCTGTGCATAAAACTGTAAGATCAAGCCTGTGGAAGCCATCGTTAGTGTACCCAGCCAGTGGGGAGGTGGAAGGAATGTGGAAAGTGACCTTTGCTGACTTTCTGAGCTCGTGGGGTCATCTGGTGGGTGCTGTGTAGTAGTGTACCATCAACCTCGATCGGGGTGGGTCTGTCCTAGCAGACAGAAAGATGGCAGCTTTGGGAGATGGCTCTGTAGTGCTTGCCTTCTAAATATGGGGAATTGAATTTGAGCACCAGAACTCACCTAAATAAGCCAGGCATGATAGTATGTAACTCCCCCAACCCCAAGCACCAGGGCGGTAGAGACAGGCGATCCCTGGCATTTACTGTCAGGCTGCCCTAGTCTGTTTTGGCAACTTCCAAACCAGTGAGAGACCCTACTTCCAAAACAAGAAGAAAAAAAACAAAAACAAAAACCGGTGTTTAGTGTCTGAGGAGCGATGCCCTGTGTCCTCTCCTCTACATGAGCACGTGTGTGCATACAGGCACTGCAGAAACACATAGATTAGAGAAGCACAACAGTGTCTCAGGCCAGCCTGAATGAGTGGGCGGCACATATTCAGAAGTTTCGGATGGGTCTGCGGAGGTCACCCCTCAGTTCCCTGATAGTTTATAATGGAAAATAAGTTCTAATAATGTCAAAGTCATCTGTATAGTTTTTCCCTGGAAAGTGTTAACTTGCCCCACTGCCAGTATGTCATTTTTATGAGGACTGTAGTTTATTGTTAATCTATGGTAATGTTTTTCCCATCTTTTAACTTTGGTTTGTTTGTTTGAACCTGGGTCTCACTGTGGAGTCTGAGCTGGCCTGAAGCTCACAATCCTCCTTTCTCAGCCTCCTTAGTGCAGGATGTGCACATCCCACAGTGTACATTTCCAAGTCAGATTGTGTGCTTTATTCTACCGTTGAAGCACCATTTGTGGTCCTTAGGACTCTATCCCTTAAATAACAGCTGCATGGAGTCTAACAAGCATGTTGACCCCAGAATGAAAGCCATTTGTTTAAACTCTTCCTGTTAACAGTGCTTGGTTTGGTGTGAGACTGTGTTTGTGGGAACTAGAGAGCTGACTCAGCAGGTAAGAGCACTGGCTGCTCTTTCAAAAGACTCAGGTTCAATTCCCAGCACCCATGTGGGGGCTCATAACCATCTGTAACTCCAGTTCCAGGGGACCCAACCCCCCTCACACATTTATACGCAAAGCACAAATGAACATAAAATAAAAACACCATCAGTAAAACAGTTTTAAAATTTTAAAAAGAAAAGATGAGTGTGTTTTCTGTGCCTCACACCTGTGCAGCGCTGACTCCTGGTTCTCGGGTGCTGTCTACCTGTAGCCTCTTGTTTTATCTCTGCCATCTGCGATACACACAGTGCCATAGCACAGGGATTCTGAACCTTTTCTGTGACTCATTTCTACTGGAAAAAAAGTGTTTGCGGCCCCAGGTCTAAAGATATATAACAGATATTCATATCTATAAATAAGAGATAGATGGTTAATGTATTTTAAAATGAGTCTTTTGCATACTTTAATTTTTTACCACTTATTCAAAACAAAACTGGGGCATGAGAGATGGCTAGAGAGAATACTTGCTGCTCTTCTAGAGGACCGGAGTTCTGTTCCCCAGCACCCACATTAGATGGCTAACAGCCATATGCATCGCCAGCTCCAAGGGCTCCAATGCCCTCTTCTGGCCTCCAAGGGCACTAACATATACATAGCTGGCTGCATGTCAGATACTACAAGGCATAGGGCATCTTCAACATTTTTCACTTTTTTTGATTTTATAATCATCAGGGCTTGGACCATCACTCTTCATAAATACGTACTACAAAATAGTAGAGTATGTGTAGGGCCATTTCCAAAATTGTTGGAAATTTTGTCCCAACCCCAAGCCAAAGTGCATTTGATGATTTTATTTTTAATGGAAGTCAAGTCAGCAACTCCAGTGGTAGCCTTTAAAACCAAGCAGCCCTGCTGGGCGGTAGTGGCACACACCTTTAATCCTAGCACTCGGGAGGCAGAGGCAGGTGGATCTCTGTGAGTTTGAGGTCAGCCTGGTCTACAAGAGCTAGCTCCAGGACAGGAACCAAAAAGCTACGGAGAAACCCTGTCTCAAAAATTCAAAAAAAAAAAAGGCAGCCTCACAGTGTATTTCAGAGAGAGACTAATTTGATACCGACACTCTGAGGAGATGACTGTAGGAAAATACCAAGTCTTTGTTTTCTGTTTGCTATATTTCTGTAAGAGTGCACTGTAAACACTGCAGCTCAGAGTGGGCTGTTATCCTGGGTCGACTGTGTAAGAAGCTGGGCTGTGGACGGCACTGTGAGGTAGTTGGATGCGCTTTCTGCCTTCTGCCTTTCATAATTTTAACAGACAACTACAACTTTAAGAGTGTAAGAATGATAAAATCCCACTGATAGCTAATTCAGTCCGAACCGTAGGGGGAAAACTGATAGTGTGCTCAAGCTGGTCACTACAGATTTCCCGAAGGGACTCCGGAGACTTGAGAAAGGGTCTTCAGAAGAGGTGGAGGGAGGAAGGGAAGTGTCCCTGGTAGATGCTGTGACCGACCTTCCCTAGAGGAACAGGTGCCATACAGCCATGGTAGCCAGAGTGAAGGGAGTGCTCTACCCACCTCCTCATCTCTTCCACTCTGTCCTCAGCACAAGTATACCAATGGCCAAAGGCCTGAGCCTTGAAGCTGCTGGCCCACATGCCTGCTCTGCGAGGCCTTTTGGCACAGCCCTAAAGAAAACATCCCGTAGTCCTCTTTCACACATGCCTCAGACCAGAAGCCTCGAAGCACTAAGGGGTAGGCTGCCCATCATTGGAGCCTCCGGACTAGCTACATGCCCTTGATGCCATCCCCAGCTGCATGGCAAGAACTGTTCCACGGCTTGCTGGGGTGTTTCCCTCTGCAATTTCTGCAGTCAGAAATGCGGACTGAAAGATGGCATATTTATGTTGCTTCAGTTCCAGAAATAGTGCCTGACTGGTACCTTAGTATGACGGAAGCAGCCACTCTAGCTCCCTTGCGCTTGAGTCTTTCTTGGGGATGAGCACCAGTGCGGTCTATACCACGTGACAGAAGATGCCTTACCAAGCTTAAGTAGAGTAACTGCTGTGATTTTTAATACTGACATGTATGTGTGCAGATGCTGTGTTGAAACCTGATGATAGTATGCTAATCTAAAGACTAATAATAAAACGAATCAGCTGAACATAGCAAGTGACAGAAGCAGGAAATGTAAAACATCTTTGTATTTGTGGCTCCAGCATGGTGATTTGGCAGTCAGATCTAGGGATTAATATAGTGGATTTTGGGAGCTCAAGCCCCTTCCTAGGCTCTTAAAATAACTATGTACATCACAGGAATCCTAATATGTGATGGTCATGTAGGGCTCACTCCATCCACAACCCTGCCCTGTGAGTGCTTGGAGGAGGGTGAGGCAAAGTCAAGACAGCGATTCACCCTCTCCCATTGTGGCCATTTCCTTTAACACGTGCCCCTGAGAAACATGGGCACATACTCTAGACCTGAGCCTTCCAGCCAGAGCCAGTGAAGGGCATGACCATTCTGCAGACAGGAGCTCAGGTGCTGCTGTGCGGGGCTCAGCCTCCCACATGAGCACGAATGTGCACACCCCAAGTCTGTGACACTCTTCCTCAGCAAAAGTTAACGTTCTGCCAGTAATTAGGTTACAGGAGGAAATACAGGCTGGTCTTTTGAGATGAATTTTTCTCTATGGTTTCTTGTTCAGAAAAACCCAGATTTTTTTTTTTTTTTTAATTTCTGCTAACTAAACCATTGAGTGTAGGATATGTGTCACAGGCGGCACAGTGGAAAGTCTCCGTCCCTCCTCTGTAACAACTGTTCCCATTCATGTTCACATGA